AAGCCTGCCTGTAACAACATGTGGTGTTGCATAGTGCTTGGCAAATGGTTCATTTAACACTAATCTCTAGCCAAAACATTATAATAATACAAATACAAAGAGGAAAATAGTCACAGAGGACTGGAGGGAGAATCCAAATTGGTTTTTAAAAACTGCAACCACAATCAATTCATCTGTTAAACGGAGAAGTATAATTTTAAATGTCAGCCAAACATTTCTTTATTTTAGAACACATACACAAAATTACACATTAATCCCATGCTCCTAGCACTTAGATGTGATATTTTCAAGTTGCAAAAGATTTTCAAGCACTTCTTTTTCCTTTCGTAGTTAAAACAATGTTTGCCAGACACTTTAAGAAAATATCCCTTCAAGTTTTTTTTCTTAAATTAGATCTACATTTATTGTGTCAATATTCATTTCTAGTATTTAATTCAGCATTCAGTAATATAGTAATGGCTAATTATATTGCTCTTACTCTGCTTACTTGTGATCTGAAGACTTTACAAAATAATTATTATTGAATAAAGCATTTTTCAGTGACTGAGCTCAAATTAACATCAACACCAGTTCTCCTCAGAATTTCGCCTTGTTCCTTTTTTCAAATGCTTTCATTAAAATAATAATGTGATCCAAATCATTTCGAACAGCCCTCCAATGCCACATTACTTAAGAAAGGCTAACATGCTTTAATAACTGAAGAAGGGTCCTGACCCGAAACGTCAACTTTCCTGCTCCTCTGATGCTGCCTGGCCTGCTGTGTTCCTCTAGCTCCACACTTTGGTTGTGTGGATTTTTGGAATTCTTTTGCAGAGTCATGCTTTTGTGAATACATTAGCACTTGAGGTGATACAAACAAAGATAAATACTGTATGTAATTCACAAATCTGCAGTGGCATTGCACAGAGTAAAATTGAAATTGACCTATATCAGAAGTGCAAAATGGGCTTCTGGAAGTGAATGATAAAGAACTAGGGCAAGGTACAAGCTGGACTGTTGACTTTCTATGACTCTATTTGGTGCTACTGGTATAGACCAACTGGTGAGGTGATAGACTATTTCTGCAGATATTTTGAAGCCATTAACGAGGTGTGCATTATTCTGCTTTAAGGGAAGCAATGTCCCATTAAGGTCACGATGTTTAATTGCTATTGAGTGAATGTTGGACAAAACCTAATTATTGTCACAGCTTATCATCACCACCTTGACAGTGTGATTATAATTTTATGATGACTTTGCAAAACATTCTGGCTTCTGTATCAAATTTGTGCCAAATGAATGTGTTTCAATATTCTAGCATGCCTTGTGATGTGTGATACACATATTTGAATGTTGTAATGTGACCGACAGGAAATGTGTGCTCGTTATAAAAATTTCCATTATGTAAACAAATTATTTGTGGCACAGGTAAAAGTAAGATAGAGGATGCACTACTCATGAAATCATCATACCATATAAAATATAGTTTTTCATTCTATTATGTCCAGTTCTTGTTAAGTAAACATTGGGTGAGCTCATTGGTCAATTCAGATTCTTGTACTGTTAAGTAAACAAGAAGTATGTTTTTAGCAAAGTCACACCTACAGCATGCAAACTCATGCCTTTAACTTTATTAACTGGAAAATTTTGCATCAAATATACAGCTCTGAAATGAGCCATTTGGTCCAAGCAGCCCATACTCCATGTACCATAATTCTGCAAAATCTTTCTTTGTTGAAATCCATCACCATAATCCTCGATTAGCTTCATCCTCATTTTCCTATCTAGCTTCCTCCTAAATGTTTCTGTACTACTCACTTCAGTCACTCATTGTGCTACTGAGTTCCTGGATTTCTTGGGTAACTAACTGATATTGATGGCCTCTAGTTATCCTGTAGCCTATAAAAGGAAACACTTTCTCGATATCCACTCCAGCAAATGTCTTTATTGTTTTAAAGACTTCCATCAAGTCACCCTGTAACTGTTTTCTTTCTTGCAAAGTGGAATTGTTCAGCCACAGTTTTCCTATGCATTCAAAACAACAGCCTTCATTCTGTTACGTTGAAAAAAAATGGAAATTTGCACTGTACTGTGCTGTGTTGAATGTACATAGCTACTATGAAGATAGCGGCATCCTTCATCCCTGACATCATTCTTGCAAACCTCCTCTGGATCCCTCCAACAACTGTACATCCTTCCTTAACATGGGGCCCAAAACTGCCCATAATATTCCAAATGTGGTCTGACCAGAGCCTTACACAGCCACAGGAGTACATCTCTGCTCGTGTATTCTAGCCCTCCTGAAATGAATGCTAACATTGCATTTGCCATCCTAACCACTAACTGAACCTTCAGGTTAACCTTAAGAGAATCCTGAACTAGGGCTGCCAAATCCCTTAGACATCAGATTTCTGAAGCCTTTCCACATTTAGAAAATAGTCTATGCCTCTTCTTCCAAGCAAAGCACATAACCTCACACTTTCCCACATTATATTCCACCTGCATTGGTGGTCATCTTCCAGGATTGTATAGACTCTGGAACAGTCCCTGCAGATTGGAGGGTCATTCCAATATTCAAAAAGGGAGGTAGAGAGAAAACAGGAATTGTAGACCAGTAAGCCTAACATCGGTAGTAGAGAAAATTCTCAAACCCATTATCAAGGACTTTATAGCAGAGCATTTTGAAAGCAGTGGCAGGATCAGACAAAGTCAGCATGCATTTATGAAGGGGAAATCATGCTTGACAAATCTGTTGGAATTCTATGACTGTGTAACTAGTAGAGTTGACAAGGGGGAGCCCGTCGATGTGGTATATTTGGACTTCCAGAAAGCATTTGACGAAGTCCGGCATAAGAGATTTTTGTGCAAAATTCATTGGCATGGGACTGGAGGAAGTGTACTGAGATGATTAGAAAACTAGTTGGTAGAGAGGAAACAAAGAGTAGGAATTTAATGCCTCCTTTTCAGATTGGCAGGCATTAACTAGCGGGGTGCCACAGGGATTTGGTGCTGGGACCCCAGCCATTCACAATGAAAATGAATGATTTAGATGAGGGAATAAAATGTAACATCTCAAAGTTTGCAGATGATACTAAGTTGCTTGGGAGTGTGAACTATGGCGAGGATGCAGAGATCCTTCAGCATGATCTGGACGGGTTGGGTGAGTGGGCAAATCAATGGCAGATGCAGTATAATTGTGAGGTTATTCACTTTGGAAGCAAAAACAAGAAGGTAGTTTGCTAACTGAATGGCTGTAAATTGGGAGAGGGGAGTGTGCAGTGGGATCCGGCTGTCCTTGTGCACCAGTCGATGAAGGTAAGTATGCAGGTGCAGCAGGCAGTAAAGAAGACAAATGGTACGTTAGCCTCCATTGCGAGAGATGTCGAGTACAGGAGCAGGGATGAGTTGTTTCAGTTATACAGGCCCATGGTGAGGCCACACCTGGAATATTGTATGCAGTTTCGGTTTCCTTTTCTGAGGAAGGATGCTCTTGCTCTCGAGGGACTGCAGCGAAGGTTTACCAGCCTGATTCCAGGGATGGTGGGACTGATATATTGGGAGAGATTGACTTGGTTGGAATTGTTTTCGCTGGAGTACAGATGAATGAGGGAAAGGAATCTCATAGAGACTTATAAAATTTTTACAGGACGAAAGATGATAGATTCAGGGAGGATGTTTCTGATGGTGGGTGTGTCCAGAACCAGGGTTCACAGTCTGAGGATTCGGGGTAGACCATTTAGGATGGACATGAGGAGACGTTTCTTCACCCAAAGAATTGTGACCCTGTGGAGTTCATTGCCACAGGAAGTAGTTGATAACAAAACATTGAATATATTCAAGAGGCGGCTGGATGGCATTTAGGATGAATGAGATCAAAAGTTATGGGGAGAAAGCAGGATTAGGCTATTGAGTTGGACAATCATGATCATGAAGAATGGCAGAGCAGGCTCGAAGGGCCAAATGACCTCTTCCTGCTCCTATCTTCTATGTTTCTTTGTCCACTTTCCTAGCCTGTCCACATCCTTCTGAGACCCCCCCCCCCGCTTCCTCAACACTCCTTGTGCCCTGCCCATTTTTGTGTCATCTGAAAACTTAGCAGCAATGCCCTCAGTTTCTTTGTCCAGATTGTTAATTGAAAATGTGAATAGTTATGGTCCCTGCTGAACTCCACTAGTCACCTGCTGTCATCCAGAAAAAAAACCCTTTAACCCCTTCTGCCAGTCAGCCATGCCAGTACCTTGCCCCTAACAGTATGGCCCCTTATCTTGTTTAGCAGCATCCTATGTAGCACCTTGCTTCTCTGATTTGAGGCCTGTTTTCCTCTCCTCTCTATCTCCTCCCATCACTAGTATAATCCTCTATGTCTTATCACTAAAGCTATTTTCCCTAATCTCTTCTAGCTTCCTCCTATTACATACTCCCGATTGTTGGAACAGAGTTGAGGAAGTAAGTGAGAACTTGTTTGTTTCCTCCTAAAAATGAATAATGCTGCCAGCATTGATGCTGTTCCATCCTGCATGACTGGCATAATCTGGTCCTGAATTAGAAATATACAGTAAAAAGGATAAATGAAAGACCTACACGGGAAGTGAAACAATTTAAAATGGCATTATAAAAGCTTTCTTTTGATCTTTGAGGCACTGTGCATGTTTAGGATGGGATAAAATAGCCTTTTCATCAGAAAAGTTGCGAATGACCATTGAACACCTATGAGTAATACAGAAATGAGAAATATCCTGTTCCCTAGCATTAAACCCCACAATTCGGTGTGGTCAAAATTCTAAAGAAGGAAGAGTGAAAGAGAAAGTATTCCATTCACTACCATCACAGTTTGGCAGCCTGAAACTAAATATCTGTTAAGTTAATTTACCCAATTTAAAAATTCTCAATGGTGCATTCTGGAAAATGCAGTTGATTTTCTATATTTTCCAATGAGGTGGAATGATGGAATTAGGAATCAAAGATGTACCGTTTCGGAGGTAAGAATCTTTGTGCAGTGACTTTCTTTATGTTCTATTTAGTTGACACTCCTGACCCTTATGTCGAATTGTTCATTGCCACGGCGCCAGAGGGCCGCAAACGGACCAAGTACCTAAACAACATTGTCAACCCAGAATGGAATGAGACATTTGAATTTCTTCTTGACCCAAATGAGAAGAATATTATGGAGGTAAAACTTCTCCATCCAGATAATTGGATTTGGATGTTCAGTTCCATTCGTATAGGTTATTGATTATCGTTGATGTACATTAACGATGTAATATGTTTTATGTAAATGCCATAATCATCTGTGAACTGTTACATCTTATGCAGTCTCAAAATTGTCGGAGCATTTCAATTTGTTGACTCTACTGATTAAAAAGAACAACATTTCCATGAAATAAGGCACTGTTAGCGAAACACCTCTGAAGAAACTGGGCTTGAAGTGTGAACTGTTTCTCTCTCCAGTTACATCTGCTGAATTTCTCCAGCACTTTGTTTTTATTTCAAATTTCCACAGTACTTTGCTTTTGTATTAGCAAATACTAGTTTTATATCGCTCTACCAGTTAAAATATCCCTTCTGAAATTCCACACAGAGACAGACAGACAAAATGCATTGGTCTTATGTGTAGAGGGATAAAACACTGGGAAAGTACTCAATGGCCCAGTTCCACAGGATTCTATGAGATGTCCCTTTTGCTTGTCAGGACTTGGAGTTCTTCACTCTGTTTTTGCCAGGTCCTTTTCACCTCTCCAGGCAGGCACTGGCGATTAGTACATTAACTGCCAAGTCTCTTATTTGCTATTAGCAAGGCCGTTCCCAGAATTTTGATCCAAAGTCAGCGGAGGAACAGTGACACAATATTAAGTCAGGATGGTGTGTGGATGGTGGGGAACTTTCAGGTGGTGGTGTTCCCACACATGTTTTGCTTTTGCTCCTTAGGGTGATAGAGGTCCTGGTGCTCTCACAGGTGTCTTGGTGAGTTGCTGCAATGCATTGCCTAGATGGTGCAATCTGCTGCCACTGTATCAGTGTTGCCTTGAGTGAATTCTGAGGCTGCTAGATGGGAACATTTTAGTTATGGCAATGCTCTTACGAACTTCCTTAAAATCATGCAATCAAATTTGCCCAGTCCTAGAACATAGAACATTACAGCACAGTACAGGCCCTTCAGCCCTCGATGTTGCGCCGACCTGTGAAACCAATCTGAAGCCCATCTAACCTAAACTATTCCATTATCATCCATATGTTTATCCAATGACCATTTAAATGCCTTTAAAGTTGGCGAGTCTACTACTTTTGCAGGCAGGGCATTACACGCCCTTACTACTCTCTGAGTGAAGAACCTACCTCTGACATCTGTCCTATATCTATCACCCCTCAATTTAAAGCTATGTCCCCTCATGCTAGCCACCACCATCCGAGGAAAAAGGCTCCCACTGTCCACCCTATCTAATCTTCTGATCATCTTGTATGTCTCTATTAAGTCACCTCTTAACCTTCTTCTCTCTAACGAAAACAGCCTCAAGTCCCTCAGCCTTTCCTCATAAGACCTTCCCTCCATACCAGGCAACATCCTGGTAAATCTCCTCTGCACCCTTTCCAATGCTTCCACATCCTTCCTATAATACGGTGACCAGAACTGTACGCAATACTCCAAGTGTGGCCGCACCAGAGTTTTGTACAGCTGCAACATGACCTCATGGCTCCGAAACTCAATCCCTCTACCAATAAAACCTAACACACTGTACGCCTTCTTAACAGCCCTATCAACCTGGGTGGCAACTTTCAGTGATCTATGCATATGGACACCGAGATCTTTCTGCTCATCCACACTATCAAGAATCTTATCATTAGCCCAGTACTCTGTATTCCTGTTACTCCTTCCTGGAGACTTGACCTCATGAGCACCATTATTTTCTCCATTACTGTTACTTTGTCTATGTTAATTTTAGTGAATCCTTATTCCTCATTCACTGTTATTCTTTGGGATATGTGGTAATCTGACCTATTCCTCAATTATAATTATCGACAAGAAATTATTCAGCATATCTACTGTTTCCTTATATCCATTGTCAATATCATCATTATCAGCTTGGAGAGGGCCCAGATTGCTCTTGAACACCATCTTTTTCCTAAAGCAATGAGATTATTTTGTATCATATTCCTTGTAAATTTATTTCTGTACTCACTACACCATCTGTTTTGTTCACTCTTTGCCATACTTTATGTCTTTCTCATTTGCTAGGATTTGCTATTTCCTTGCATTTCTGTACCTTTTCTTACAAAACTATGTTGTCACTTAAATTGTGCAAATTGTCCCCTATCATGTTAACATTTTTTGATCACCTGACACTGATCTTTTTTCAGTAAATTATAACAATCGCCATCTCAAAGCATTGAAGTCAGCCATACCTTGTACTAGAATCTCAGAATCTGTTTCACATTTCTCCCTTTTAAACACTTCATAATACACTCGACCGTATCATGATCACAAGCTGTTAGCCTGTTAACAGTTGGTTCTCAGTTTTCTGCAAAGAAATATCTATGTCGAAAGCATACAGAAAATTCATTATCTTTTGGGTCATGTATCCCAATTTATATAAAAGCTTATCCAAGTAGATATGAAAGTTTAAATTTCTTCCTTTTCTAAGTACTTGTCCAATCTCTGTACTTATACAATCTGCCATTTCCAAGGGGTTATAAGGTGGCCAATATACAATTCCCATAACAACCATAAATCCTTACCTATCCTTTCACTCTACTCGTCAAGTCTCCATGACTGGCCTACCTCTTATTATATACACTCAAAGCTTTGAGGTGATTTAATCTTTAATACTTAAGGTGACTCTTCTTCCCCCTCATCCTCCTTGTCTTTAATGTAGACCTTATGACGTGTTGTATTTTGTTCCTAGTTTTGCATGCCTCGCAGCAATACTTCAGTAATGTCCACCATGTCATACCACCTAAGTTGAATTTGCACCTGCAACTTGTTGCATTTGGTGCTTGTATTCCATACATTTGTATAACGAGTGTTTACTGGGCCAAACTCGCTTGTCCACTGAAGTGTTTTGCGTGCCTATTTCTTATTTCTTTCTCAAAGACTTTTAGTGACTTTTATTTTACCTTTCAGCTAGTTTTAGGGGCAAAACTTCTACCCTCAAGGTCCTTGCCACTGGGGAAGGACTTGGTGTTGGCCACTGAAGTGCCCAACTGGCATTTAACTTGGTTAGAGACAAAAAACTGCAGATGCTGGAACCCAAGGTCGACAAACAGGAGGCTGGAAGAACACAGCAGACCAGGCAGCATCTGGAGGAAAGGAGCAGTCAACGTTTTGGGTAATTA